ATAGCGCTTAAAGCACTCTTTGGGTGGTTGAGAATTTAATGATGAAGCCTAAACATTGCCACCTCACAACAACTCAGCAGCTGAGCTGGGCACTCAATTTACCATCCTCGGAAGGACAGAAGGTTGAGTCAACCTCCAATTGACTTCCTGAGGCTATCAGGATCCAAAACAGGCTGTGAGCACTCCTGCAGTTTAACCACTGTGCCGCTGATGTTAAATTTTATCAAACACACACACACATACCGCTTTTTAAGTTCCAAATGTATCCTGCCCTGTGCATGAGAGGTGGGCTTTTCTGTTCCGAAGGCCTTCACAGCACTCATGCAACTTCCAAATTGCAAAGTTTCACAAGAGGACACAAGCGCGTTTTCAGTTGTTTCAAAAATAAATAAATAAATCTCCATTTCTGTGAGAAACGTTTTGGAGCCGGCGGTCACAGGAGTGGCTGGCCAGGGTCCAGGGGTGTGTGTAGCCCCCAGCGTTTGGGACACTGCCTACCCATGGGATAAGGAATACGGGGGTCCTTACCAATCAAGATACAGTCATTCTCCTGCTTGATTTTTCTGAGAAGCACCTCCTGCCCAGACTCTGATCCAGCCTGTCCTGCTTCTGGGAACAGGACCGATTCTTCATTGACCCTCCTGCCCATCTTTTAAAAACAAAAGCCAAGAGGGGCAAGAATTAAACCGAGGATCACCTGCTATTTCCACCCACTCTCTTTGACGCCCTTCCCTCCATCCCCCAAGACTTTGCTGATGTCTAGGCCATTGTATCCCAAGGCCCACACTCACCGGGACCTCCCACCTCCCAGGGCCTTGCGACTGTAACAGGACTGTCTGAAAGGCTTTGCTGTTGATTTTCTTCTCATGGCTTCTCAACAAACGTGAACTTCTGTCCTTCCTCTTCTCTGGGTCATTAAATTTCGGGCTGAGAGAAACCTCGCCACCACATTGGGCCTCTCTGAACAACCGCCTCGAGGATTCCGCCTCCATAGGAATTTCTGGCTGGTGCTGCTCTTCCATGGCTGCCTTTCCATCGTCTGCTGGAAGACGAAAGGGAGACGGTCACGTTCTGAGAGCAAGAAACACCTCTAGCTGGTCTTTTTTACCAGAATCATAATGGTTAAAAAATTGAAATAAATAAATAAACAAGGAATACCAGCTAAGATAGGAAGGGAGTCATGTATCCAGGAAACAATATTCTCTCTCTAGGGCAGAGGTCCCCAACTCTTGTTCCGCAGCCTGAACTGGACTGGGCCGCCAAGACAGACCTCCCGCCCCACCCCCGCACGCTCTCACCCCTGCACAGGCCGTTTGCACATGCGCACAAGCGCGCCTGTTCGCACATGCACACGAGCACGGGGTGCCTCACTTTCCCCAGCCGGTCCGCGGACCAAAAAAAGGTTGGGGACTGCTGCTCCAGGGTGTCAGCATACTGACTCTCGACCACTCCACACCCCCAAAATATTCAAACTTGTTTTGAAAATCAACTGCACACTGCTTTTTCAGTTAAAAACATGCCCCGCCCAGTGTACTGTAGAGGTGGGCCATGATTTCCTGTTCTGAAGCCGTATCGAGCAATCAAAAAACTCTCGCTCCTGAAAAGTTCAACAAGAAGAAACAGACATTTTGGCTTTGTTTCTTTCTTTCTTTTTTCATTGGGTAAGAAAAACAAAGTGTGACGCTAATCGACCGCCCCATTGTGCTTAAAGCACTCTCTGGGCAGTGTACAATTTAATTATTCAGGCTACACACTGTCAGCCACCACCACCACCCCCTTCAACTTACCAACCTCAGAAGGATGGAAGTCTGAGTCCATCTCAAGAAAGCTACCGGAGCTCAGGGCTGAACTCAGACTGTGAGCAGAGTCTCGACTGCAATGTTTACCACTGCGCTACAAGGCTCTTCCCATGAGGGTCACAGGAGTAGCTGGCTAGGGTCCTCTCTCTCTGTGTGTGTGTGTGTGTGTGTGTGGGCCCCAGCCTTTGGGACATCGCCTACCCATGAGCTAAGGAATACGGGGGTCCTTACCAATCAAGATACAGTCATCCTCCTGCTTGATTTTCTTCAAAAGTGGCTCCTGCCCAGACTCCAATCTCGCCTGCTCTACTTCTGGGAACTGGACCGACTCATCATTGACACTCCTGCCCATCTAAAAAAAAAAGAAAAAAAAAGCCAAGAGTGGCTAGAATTAAACTGAGGATCATTTGCTAGTTCCAATCACTATCTTTAATGCCATTCCTTCCATGTCTCAGAATATTTTATCCGCCTAGACATTCCTCCTGGCAAATAAGGCTATAAAGAGATGGGCCGATCCACTTGTATCCAAGACATGGGGACCCCTGGCTTCTTCCTGGACTCCCTCTGGGTCCCAAGGCAGGTAGGAGAACCACAGGTAGGGCAATCCCTTTCTTATACGTAAAGCTGGTGCCTCCTTAACTACCCCAAAGATTGTACACCTCTGGAATGCCCAGGCCTGGAAATGGTAACAGCAACATCAGCTAAGAATAGGTCCTATTCTGTGAGGCCCTTGGTGCATGACACGGGGCATCGAAGGGTCGGATGGGAAGGGCATCTCTAGCGGTTGCATTCTGGCACCATCACAAACACTCAGCTTTGCCCATGATTAGCAGCCAAAAGGGAGGGGCAAAAAGACCTCTGCCACTGAATTTCAAGGGTGGCAGTTCTAAAGCAGTCCCGGTGGCTTCTAAAAGCTTCAGGGTGGGTCTCCTCAAGTGAGAGAGAGAAAACGTGCACTATCACAAAGCCCGTCCTCACCGGGGGCTCCCATCTCCTGGGATCTTGCGTCTGCATCAGGACGGTTTGGAAGGCTTTGCCTTTCCCTCTCTTCTCATACGTTCTCAAAGAATTTGAGCCTTTGTCCGTCCTTTTCTCTGGGTCATGAATTGGTTGACTCTGAGAAATCTCGCCACCACGCTGGGCCTCTCTGCACAACTGCCTAGACGATTCCACCTGCACAGAAATTTCTGGCTGGGGCTGCTCTTCCACGGCTGCCTTCCCGTCTTCCCCTGGAAAAAGAAGACGGTCACATTCTGAGAGCAAGAAAGTACCTCTTTCAATTCCTTCTACCAGAACCATAATAGTAAATAAATAAACAAGGAATAGCAGCTAAACTGGACGTAGACATCATACATCCGGTAAACTGTACGCATTTCCCTAGGGTCTCACCAACATCCTGACCATCCAGCACACTGCCCCCTTCCCAGCAGTAATGAAATTCCCACACCGCAAAAGTTTCAGAACAGGATAAAAGTGCTTTTTTTTTCCTTTTTGGCATGAAAAAGCAAAGTGTAGCGCTTGAAGCACTCTATGGGTTATTTGCAGCTTAACTACGCAGAGGACACATTCCCCCCGTCCCCATGGCCTCAAGCCAGCCACCTGAGCCCAGGATTGAACACAGGTTGGAATCAAAGTCTCAACTGCAGTTTTCACCACTGCACCCACGAGGCTCCTCCCACAAGGGTGGGCGGATTTGTGTAACCCCTAAGCTTCTGGACATTTCCTGCCCTTGCGCTAAGAAATACGAGGTTCTTACCAATCAACACGCAGTGGTTGTCCTGCGTGATTTCTTTGAAAAGCAGCTCCTGCCCTCGAACACAGGTTGTAATCAAAGTCTCAACTGCAGTTTTCACCACTGCACCCACGAGGCTCCTCCCACAAGGGTGGGCGGATTTGTGTAACCCCTAAGCTTCTGGACATTTCCTGCCCTTGCGCTAAGAAATACGAGGTTCTTACCAATCAACACGCAGTGGTTGTCCTGCGTGATTTCTTTGAAAAGCAGCTCCTGCCCAGGCACTGATCTAGTCTTCTCCGCTTCTGGGAACTTGGCCGATCTCTTCTCAAATGTTCTGCACATCTAAAATAAAGCCAGGAGTGGTAAATTTAAATTAAACCGAGTATCAGCTGCCACTTCCATTCCCTCTCTTTGATGCTATTCCCTCCATGCCTCAAAACATTTCTTCGGCCTAGATATTCCTGCAGGTCCAGAAGGAAAAACACAAGGGTTTCCACAATGGATGTTCTAATTCACCGATGCCTCATTGACCACCCTTCCTTGCCTGCCTTTCAAAAATGAAAAAAGACACAGTGGAGTAAAACAGGTGTATCATAAACTAGTCAACAAACATAATTAGCACACATCACAATGTGCTGGTTCCCAGCCTTTAACTCTAGAGATATTTTGGACATCATCTCCCAGATGTCCGAGATATTTTGGACATCATCTCCCAGATGCCCTGGCCAGAATGGCCAATGGTGAAGGATTCTGGGAACTGAAGCCCACAAGAATAGGAAAGCCCAAGGTTGAAAATCACTGATACAGTGAGTAGCAGGCACGAGGCATATTTATTTATCTGTGGGGTGTGTGTTTTTTTGTAGACCGCAAATCCAAGAATTACGAGGCATATTTATTTGTCTGTGGGGTGTTTTTTTTTTGTAGACCGCAAATCCAAGAATTATTATAGCTTCTCTTTTTATTTATATTTTCCCACTATATTAAGTTGGGTTGTGACAATCCACTTGCAGAAAACGTGGACTCAGACACATGGGGGCCCTGGCTTCTTCCTAGACTCTCTAGGAAGGTCCCAAGGTAGGTAGGAGAACCAGTGGTTCGGCAACCCTGTTCTTGTAAAGTTGGTGCCTCCTTAACTACCGCAAATATTGTACACCATGCCCAGGCCTGGAGATGGCAGCAGCTGCAGCTAAGAATATGTCCTATCTTGTGAGGTCCTTGTACAATATTAAATTGTACAATACAGTTTATGTGTTTCTATGGGAGGGACTAGAATGCGATGTTTACCTAGTGAAGCATTCTGACCAATCAGAATGCATCTCCTAGAATGTGATGCTTACCTAGTGAAACATTCTGACCAATCAGAATGTTTCTCATGCCAGCCCAACGGATATATAAAGCCATTGTCACTTAGCAGTCTCTCAGCTGGGGCTGAAAGCGCTGACAGAGTTTGCTAGGACCAGGCAGGGAAAATATGTGGTCGAATACGACATGCGTTAGATATGTTATAGGACATGAGATTTAGTTTATTAGAGCAACTATGTATGTCGAGTTTTAAGAACGATATACAAACATAATTAAGTAGCAATTTATATAAAAAGTACCAATATCTGAAAGCACTGAGAGTGTATTCTATTCTACATGGGTTTTGAACAGTAGAGTGGTCCGAGCTGACTAGATAGGCCGGATATAAATAAAATAAATAATAATAAAAATAATAATATTGTGATGTTTTTAAAGACGACCAAGCAATGATTTTATTTATTTTCAGCTGCGGGCACAAAGACACACAAGGGAAAATGCAATTTTTACTCTCTCCTCTTTTCCTCATAACACTTGAAACTGCTGTGTGCAGACTGTCAGTTACATTATATATATATTTTTATTGTAACAAAAAGGTCATGGGGCCCAGATTACAGTGGCTTAGATTAATAGGAAGTCCATAGAGACTTTTAGTCCACAGAAGCCTTATAACCCAGAACAAATTCTGAGGTAAAACTAAAGGGCCTTAATCAGGAAGGCAAAACTGAACTAAATTATTTTTAAGAGTCAGTCTGAGTCAAACCAGAGTTACTGAGATTAAATATTTGCTGAGGTGAAAGAGTAACCAAAAGAAGAGTAACTAAAGTACAATTTTGTACAATTTTTTTCTTGCCCTGTGAACAGAAGTACTTGTGGCCAGTTTATATAAGGAAAGTAAAATACATTTTTATTTCCTTATATAAAAGGAATTCAGTAGTAAACTTCCAGAATTAACAAAGATGAATTATAGACAGTGGGTTGACATACTGAAGACTGATTTACAAGCTAGAGAAATTAGTAACTGTACAGACAAAGAAACTCCTCCTAATGATGAGTTAAGAAAGATATGTGAACAAAATTATAGAATTGCAAAGTCTATAATATACTGTACCACAGTCTCACAGATATTCAATTAAGTTTTGTGAAGAATTCACAGACAAAGAAATTATTGATAATTTATATGAATTTTATGGTGTTTCTAGTCACACATCTATAATGAATCTTACGAGACAATTTGGCAAGTTACGTTTAAATAATAATAACTGAACAACACATAGACAGTTTACAGACAGCAGGTTTTGCAATTACATGTGATTTAGTAAAAAAAAGGGACTTTTTCTGTCATCACTTGGAGAATATTTTGAGGCATTTGTGTCTTTAAATGTTGTTCAAAAGTCAGATTTTCAAGAAGCTGTGAGGAACTTGAGAGAATAATGTAAAGATCAAGAGAAATCAGAGAAACATTAATCTAGTTATCTCAGATGCAATAGTTACAAGATAGACAACAAAGTAACCCTCAAAACTGTTTCAGTTGCAGCTGTATTTTTCTGTGTAAAAGATGATACTTTTCCTAAAATTATTGGAGGAAAAATTGAGGGTCATCTTTTACACAAGTAAGCTGAGGAGAAAACCATGTGGTAGCAAAACTGCCTACCCTATGCTCATCAGTGGAGTCTGGAGCCACCTTTGTGCCAGGACCCACCCCATCCATTTCTGCTTCTGTTTCACAGATCTGAAGCAGCCGGTGCTGTTCCTCCTCACCTGCAAGCAGATCCGAGGTGGAGTGTGCATGCACACCGTGGGGCTTAGGAAATGGAGGGGTAAAGCAGCAATGAAAGGGCTGCAGCACTATTAAGAATGCTTCTCAGCACATCAGCACCAAGAAATATGCAGGTAGAACATCTAGATGTAAAAACAGCATTTCTGCATGGAGAAATACAAGGACTTCATATGCAACAACCACCAGACTCTGTCAACCAGAAACATCCAGAATTTGTTTGCAAGTTAAGGAAAAGGACTGTATGGATTTTTTTTTAAAAAGCAGCGAGAGCATGAAATAAAAACAAAATTAAAAAAATAAGTAAATAATAATAAATGAAAGACTAAAGAAGATGCCGATTCAAGAAAGGATTTTAACAAGGTGATGATAACACCTTGGGTCTTTTAGGCAGAAAAGTGGGTTAAAAATAATTTCAAAATTATTTCAAATATTTTAAAAAATATTTTCAGTCAATGTATCTTAGTAGCAGAAGAAACTGACATTCTGCATATATCTTTTAGTTTGTTGATGATCTTTTTAGTTGCTACAAATAATGAACAGGAATATAAAGAAATAGTAGAAATATCTCGTTCAGAAGTATAGATTAAGGAATTGGTTAATGTAAAATATTATTTAGGTAAATAAACAGAAAAAGATATAAATGGTTCATATTTGTTAAGTCAAAAAGCAAAGATAAATGAATTAACAACTAAACAACAACTTAGGTCTTAAAGATGAATGTGATGTTGAAATACCAATACAAACTGATTGTCTTGAAGATAAATTGGAAAGAAAAGATGCATCAGACAATAGTAAATGTAACACAGAAAGTAATGTCAAAGAATACTAAGTATAAAGCTCCAATGGATAAGTTACAATACAGTGGTGCCCCGCATAGCGACGATAATCCGTTCCGGATAAATCGTCACTATCCGGATTCGTCGCTATGCGGGGGGGGGGAACCCATAGGAACGCATTAAACAGAGTTTAATGCGTTCCTATTGGGGAAAAACTCACCGCTATGCGGGAATCCTCCATCCGGCCGCCATTTTCACTGCCCGGTAAGCGAGGGCAGGGTGCGAAAATGCTGCAGGCGGCCATTTTCTGCACCCGGTGGCCATTTTGGAACCACCGATCAGCTGTTTTCTAAACATCGCAATGCGGAGATCGGTAAGCGAAACGCTTACCAATCATCGCAATGCGATGTTTTGCCACCTAAAACATCGCAATATGATCGCATTAGTGATCACAAAAAACGTTAAGCGACGCACCATTGTATCTTACTACACAACCAGGCCAGATATAGCTACTGCTGTTAGTTTTTTAAGAAGAAAAGTAACAAACACAAATACATGCAAGGAAGAATACAATTTCTACTTAATGTGTGTGTGCACTTTTCTCATAAAGCTTGAAACTGCTGTGAGCAAACTATGTCAGGTAGGACACCTCTATTATTTTTATAACCCAGGTCAATAAGAACCTTGGGACATGACAGGGGGCATCCAATGTTTGGATGGTAAGGCATTCTCTGGGGATTCCATTCTGCACCACAGAGAACTACCAATCCTACCCATGCTTAGTAGTCAAAAGAGAGGGGCTAAAATGACCTCTGCCAATGAATTTCAGTAGTGACAGCCCCAGTGGCTTCTAAGAGGTCCAACGAGGGTCTCCTGAAGCAAGCAGAGAAAATCCTCATTTATCTCAAGGTCAACACTCACCGGGGGCTCCCATCTCTCAAGATCTTGCGGCTGCATCAGGATGGTTTGGAAGCCTTTGTTTTTAACTGTGTTATCATATGTTCTCAAAGAATTTGAGCCTTTGTCCATCTTCTTCTCTGGGTCACGCACCTCCATAGAAACTTCGGGCTGGTGATGCTGTTCCACGGCTGCCTTCCCATCTCCTGCTGGAAGGTGAAAGGGAGATTGTCACATGCAAAGAGCAAGAAACACCTCTATCACTTCCTTCTGACAGAACTATAATGGTAAACAAACAAACAAGGAATACCAGCTAAGCAAGGAGTGAGCATCATGTATCCAGTAGACCGCATGCGCTCCCCAGGGGACCAGAGGCGCCTGCTCAAGCATCCTGATCTTCCACCATAATATCAACTTGCAAAGTTTAGCGACCAAGATTTTGCGATCGCTTTGCGATGTTCCCTATGGGGTATTTTCGCTTTGCGATGATCAGTTCCCGAAGCAGGGAACTGATCATCGCAAAGCGACCATTTTTGCACAACTGATCGGCAGTTTCAAAATGGTCGCCAGGGAAAAAACATGGCCGCCTGCTGTTTTCTGGGATGGATTCCTCGCTTAAGAGGCACCAGAAATGGCCGCGCTATGGAGGATCTTCGCTGAACTGTGAGTTTTAAGCCCACAGAAACGCATTAATCGTGTTTTAATGCATTTCTATAGGCTTTTTAATTTCGCATTGTGATGTTTTTGTTCAACAGCGATTTCGCTGGAACGAATTAATGTCGCAATGCGAGGCACCACCATACTGCTTTTTAGGTTCAAGACATCCTCTACCCAGTACACAACGGGTGGGTAATGCTGTCCTGTTCTGAAGCCCTACCTAGCTCTCATGAAACTCCCACACAACAGAGTTTAACAGTTTTTGGTGTTTCCCCCCCTTCTTTTAGTGTTAAGTATGGTAAGAAAAAACAAAGTGTGAGGCTTATATACCTCCCCATAGTGCTTAAAGAACTCTCTGGGTTATTTACAACTTAAATATGCAGAGCACACATCAAACCCACCCACCCACCACCCACCCAGTGAGCTCTGTACTGAATTTTCTGACCTCAAAAGGATAGAAGGCTGAGTCAACCTCAGAGCAGCTACATGACCCCAGGGTCAGGCTCACGTTATGAGCAAAGTCTTGACAGCACAGCTTCAGCACCATGAGGCTCCTCCCATAGAGGTAGGTGGACGGGTATAGTCCTCACACTTCTGGACATTCCCTGCCCTTGAGCTAAGGAATATAGGGGTCCTTACCAATCAAAGCATAGTGGCCATCCTCCTGGATTTCTTTGAAAACCAGATCCTGCCCAGACTCCGATCCAGCTTGTTCTGCTTCTGGGAACTGCTCAAAAAGAGGAGTAGCAAGAATTTGACTGAGGATCACACTCTACGTCTGTACATTACCTTTGATGTCATGGACCTTTCTAGCGTCTAGTCATTCTTCCAGGACCAAAAGAAAAATACTAAGATTTCTATAAGAGAATTTCTAATTCACTGATGCCCCATTCATCAACCTTCTCCACCTACCTTTCAGCAATGTAATCAAGCAAACTGGGGTAGAATAGGTACTGTATATCATAAGCTAGTTCACAAAAGGAGTATATAATTGAAACACATTACAATGTACTGGTTCCCAGCCTTTAATTCTCCAGATATTTTGGACATCATCTCCCAGATGTCCCAGCTGGCATGGCCAATGGTGAAGGATTTTGGGAGTGGAAGTGCACAACACTAGGAAAGCCCAAGGTTGAAAATCACTGATACAGTGACCAGCAGGCACAAGGCAGGTGCATTTGTTTTGTAAATTCCAAGTTCCACAACTCTCATTATAGCCTTTCTTTTTTTACTTATACAGTGGTGCCTTGCTTAGCGATTGCCTCGTTTAACAATGTAATCGCTTAACGATTAGTTTTCCGGAGCGATCTTGCGCTCCGTTTAGCGATGTTTCCTATGGGCACATTTCGCATAGCAATGTTTGGGACCTTGCTTCGCTTAGCAATGACAGTTTAGGTCCCCCTGTTTCGCTTAACGATGGTTTTGACAGCCCCATGTTCGCTGTTTTTTAAAGGTTTTTAAATGTTTAAAAAGGGTTTAGAATGCTTGAAATCGTTAGCGCACTTAATAAACCCTTTGTTAAACTAATTTGGCTTCGCTCTGACTCTTTTTGAATTTTTTGTAATTCCCCCCCCCCACTGAAATGCATTGAATAGGTTTCAATGCATTTCAATTGGGGAACCGCATTTCGCTTAGTGATTTTTCCTATGGCGATTTTCGCTTAAGGATGGCAATCCGTTCCCATTGGAACGGATTATCCGGTTTTCAATGCATCTCTATGGGAAAACGTGTTTCGCTTAGCGATGCTTTCCCATAGCGATGTTTTTTTTGGCACCAATTAAAATCGTTAAGCGAGGCACCACTGTATTTTTCTTTTAAGTTAAGTTGGAGGGCTGTGGATAAGAAGACACCACGAGGACTCACGCCAAGCAGATCTTGTAAAGGTCATCCATGGCTCATCTATGGCAAAGAAGGCGGGTGTAGGTGATGGGGCCAACTCACTTGCAGAACACGGGGACTCAGACACATGGGGGCCCTGGCTTCCTCCTAGACTCGTTTTGGGTAGAATCATCAGTGCTCAGACAACCTGTTCTTGTAAGGTTGGTGGCTCCTTAGTTACACACAAAAGACCAATGGAATCCCCAAACCTGAAAATGGCAACAGCAACGTCTATCTTCTGAGGCCCTTACAATGTGACATGAGGCTTCGAACTGTCTTATGGAGAAGGCATCTTTGCATTCTGGCACCACAGAGAACTCCCAACTCCACCCATGCTTAGCAATCAAAAGAGAATTGCAAAAATGACTTCTGCAATGGAATTTCAGTGGTGGCAACCCTAAAGCAGTCCTGGTGGCTTCTAAGAGGTCCTCTGTGGATCTCCTGACGTGGGACAGAGAAAAAGCTCACTAGCACAAAGCCCATACTCACTGAGGTCTCCCATCTCCCTGGATCTTGTGGCTGCATCAGGACAGTATGGTAAGCTTTGCTTTTAACTCTGTTTTCATATGTTCTCAAAGGATATGAGCTTTTGTCCTTCCTCTTCTCTGGGTCATTACATTTCTGATTCAGAGAATCACGTTGGGCCTTTCTGAAAAACTGTCTAGACGATTCCACCTCCATAGGAATTTCTGGCTGGTGCTGCTCTTCCATGGCTGCCTTTCCGTCTTCACCTGGAAAACAAAAGACACACACTCTTAGTTTTAAGCTCAAGACGTCCCTTGTGCACTAGAGATGGACCATGCTTTCCTGTTCTGAAACCCTTCCTAGCACTAACGAAACTCCCACAACACAAAGGTTTAACAGCAGGACACAAGAGGTTTGGTTGTTTTTTAAAAAAAGTTCTCCATTTTCGTAAAAAAGGAGCAAATGGTGATATTTATATTGTTGTTGTTTAGTCGTTAAGTCATGTCCCACTCTTCATGACCCCATGGACCAGAGCACGCCAGGCTCTCCTGTCTTCCACTGCCTCCCGATGTTGGGTCAAATGCATGTTGGTAACTTCAATGACATTGTTCAACCATCTCATCCTCTGTTGTCCCCTTCTCTCATTGCTTTCACACTTTCCTAACATCAGGGTCTTTCCCAGGGAGTCTTCTCTTCTCATGAGATGGCCAAAGTATTGGAGTTTCAGCTTCAGGATCTGTCCTTCCAGTGAGCATTCAGGGTTGATTTCCTTTAGAATGGATACGTCTGATCTCCTTTTGCAGTCCAGGGGACTCTCAAGAGTCTCCTCCAGCACCAGAATTCAAAAGCATAAAATCTTCAGCGGTCAGCCTTCTTTATGGTCCAGCTCTCACGTCCATACATCGCTACTGGAAAAACCACAGCTTTGACTATGCGGATCTTTGTTGGTGATATCTCTGTTTTTTAAGATGCTGTCTAGATTTGTCATTGCTTTCCTCCCAAGAAGCAGGCATCTTTTAATTCTGCGGCTGCTGTCACCATCTGCAATGATCACGGAGCCCAAGAAAGTAAAATCTGTCACTGCCTCCATATCTTCCCCTTCGATCTGCCAGGAGGTGATGGGACCAGCGGCCATGTCCTTAGTTTTTTTGATGTTGAGCTTCAGCAGTGCACCACAAGGCTCTTCCCACAAGGGTTTAACCCGCAGACATCTAGACATATCCTGCTCTTGAGCTAAGGAATATGGGGTTCTTACCGATCAATAAACAATGGCTGTCCTGCTTGATTTCTTTGAAAAGCAGCTCCTTCCCGGACTCTGAGTCAGCCTCTTCTGCTTCTGGAAATTGGGCTGATTCCTCTTCAAAAGTTCTGCAAATCTAAAACAAAGCAAGAAGAAAAAACACCTGTAGTTATTTATTTATTTATGCAGGCAGGCCACTACTCTGGGCGGTGAACAAATCAAAACAGCGCAATACACATAACAAAACCAAGAATAAAACGAGCAATTAAAAACAGATAATAACTAGAGGAAAATCATAAATCCTGGGTGCAGTAATAATAGGCAGTGGAACAAGGCAAGTTCACAGCCACAAAAGGACAACCCAGTTACTCAAGCAAGATTATTCTAGAGTAAGGGCATAAAAGGCTTGTGAAAACAGCCAGATTTTAATTTGTTGCCTAAAACCAAGGAGGGTGAGGTTAATCACACCTCGGATATGAGCAAATTCAAAAGCGATGTCGTCTCCGCAGAGAAGGTCCAGTTTTGGGTGGAAGATTTCCAGGCATACCTTGGGGTGGCCACCTGCAGCATCCCAATATATGAGGGGTGGGGGTGGGATGAGGGGTAGGCATTGTGAGGGAGAGGCACTCAGACAGGTAAGAAGGTCTGAAACCATTAAGGGCTTTAAATGTTAGCATAAACACCTGGAACCTAGCCCAGAAGCCCCCAGACAGTGCAAAGACGCCAGGTCAGCTAATTGTGATGTACCAGATACCAGCCTAGCAACTGTGTTTAGCACTTGCTACAGTTTTCAAACTGCCTTCAAGAACAACCCCACGTAGAGAGCATTGCAATAGTCTAGTCCCGAGATTACTCAGGGATTTCTCACTAAGATATGGAAGGAGGTGTGCAATCTGCGTCAGATGGCAAAATGCAGATCTGGCCCTGGCTGAAATCTGATTTTTCCATTGAGAGGGCCCGGTCCAGAAGCACACCCAAATTTAACACTTGATCCTTCAGATGGTGTGTGACTCCATCAGTTAGGCCCCCCAAACAACAGGAGTTCTATCTTGTCAGAATTCAATTCCAATCTTTTTTTGCTGTTTGTTGTTTAGTCGTGTCCGACTCTTTGTGACCCCATGGACCAGAGCACGCCAGGCCCTCCTGTCTTCCACTACCTCCTGGAGTTGGGTCAAATTCATGTTGGTAGCTTCGGTGACACGGTTAAACTTGTCTCCCTTTGTCCAACCCATGGTTCCTACTAGGAATTTTCTAATTCACCGATTCCTCATTGATCACCCCCCCATCTTTCTTTCAGCAATAAAATCAGGCCAAATGGGATAGAATAGATTATCACAATCAATCAACAAAAGGATTATATAATGGGCACACATCACAATGGGGACTCTGGCTTCCTCCTCCTCTCTTTGGTTCCTACTCTCTTTGGTGCCTCCCCAACTATCCCAAAGATGGTACACCACTGAAATGCCCAGCCCTGGAAATGGTGAGAATAGCAGCTAAGACTACAGAATCATAATTGAACTGGAAGGGGCCTCAAAGGCCATCAAGCGCAACCCCCTGCTCAATACAGGAATCCAAATCAAAGCAGATCTAATGGATGGTTGTCCAATTTTCCTTTGAATGCCTCCAGCACCAGAGCACTCACCACCTCTTGAGGTAGTTGGTTCCACTGTCGTACAGCTCTAACAGTCAAGAAATTTTTCCCCGATAGCCAGTCTAAATCTGGCTTCCTGTAGCTTGTTTTCCCCGATATTCAGTCTAAATCTGGCTTCCTGTAGCTTATTATGTGTCCTGCACTCTGGGATGATTGAGAACAGATCCTGCCATTCCTGTTTATCAAATATGTGAAAAAATGTGATCATATCTCCTCTCAGCCTTCTTTTCTTAAGGCTAAACATGCCCAGTTCTTTCAATCTCTCCTCCTAGGGCTTAGGTTCAAGTCCCCTGGTCTTCCTTGTTGCCCTCCCTCTGAACTTGCTCCAGTTTGTTGCCATCCTTGAAGTGTGGTGTCCAGAATTGGACAAGTCCTGGGAGACCTCCCTGGGGGTCCCTGTGGCAGCGACTGGCACCTTCGGAGGTCTCCAAGGGTTCCCCCCCCCCCGACATCGGAGGAAGCCCTTTGAGATGTCCGGAGGCAAAAAGGCAGGGGAAAAGGGTAGGAAGTTGGTATTTCCAGCCCTTTCCCTCTGCTTTTTTACCTTTTTTCTTCACTCGGAACGCATTGATCGGTTTTCAGTGATTTCCTATGGGAAATGGTGCTTCGACTTAAGAACTTTTCAACTTAAGAACGCAATCCCAATACAAATTAAGTTCTTGAGGTCGTCATCTAGTCGTTTAGTCGTGTCTGATGCAGTCCCAGTACAAATTAAGTTCTTAAGTCGAGGTCGTCTAGTCGTTTAGTCGTGTCTGACTCTTCGTGACCCCATGGACCAGAGCAAGCCAGCCCCTCCTGTCTTCCACTGCCTCCCGGAGTTGTGTCAAATTCATATTGGTTGCTTCGCAGACACTGTCCAGCCATCTCGTCGAGGTACCACTGTATTATTTTCGAGCTGCCTGCAGAGTGACAGTTTTAGGCGCTCAGTTCCTATTTTAGTTCAGTCTTTCCCCATAGCAAAGACTATGAACTTACAAACAATTGAAAGTGCAAGTGTGTGTGTGTGGGGGGGGGACGGGACAGGATTGCAGCTGGAGGTTGATAAACAGTCAAGGAATACCTTACCACCTTGAACAAGTTGAAATCTCCAGGGCCAGATGAACTGCATCCGAGAGTAATGAAGGAACTGGCTGAAGAACTATCAGAAATGCTATCATTTTCTTGAAATTATAGGAAATGGGCGAGGTGCCAGAGGATTGGAGGAGGGCCAATGTTATCTCTATCTTATAAAAGGGCAAAAAAGAGGAACCTGGGAAATACAAGCCAGTCAGCCTGACATCAATCCTAGGCAAAATTCTGGAACAGATCATAAAGTGGTCATTGTGCAAGCACCTAGAAAACAATGCAGTAATAACTAGAAGCCAACACAGATTTGTCAAGAAGAAATCCTGCCAAACTAATTAGATCTGTTTTTTATCAGGTCACCTCCCTGATAGAGAGAATGATGTAGATATAGTATATCTTGACTTCAGCAAAGTTTTTGACAAACTGCCTCATGATATCCTGATTAGCAAGCTAACTAGGTGTGGGCTGGATAGATCAAGTGTCAGGTGGATACGCAATTGGCTACAGAATTGTAGCTTGGAAACCAAGCCTTATGAGGAAAGGCTGAAAGAATTGGGCATGTTTAGCCTTGAGAAAAGACTGAGGGGTGATAGGATAACACTTTTCAATTATTTGAAAGGCTGTCATACAGAGGAGGGGCAAGATCTGTCCTTGATCATCCCAGAGTGCAAAATTTCTGCTGCTCCAAAATTTTCCCTGGGATTGATGTCAGGCTAACGGATGATCTATAGTTCCCTGGTTCCTTGTTTTTGCCCTTTTTGAAACGCAACAATGGGCTGCAGTTAAAGGAAACCAGATTTCGGCTGAATATCAGGAAAAACTTTCTGTTAGAGCAATACGAGAGTGGAACCAGTTATCTCAGGAGTTGATGAGTGCTGCAACACTGGAGGCATTCAAGAAAAATGTAGATAATCACCTGGCAGATATGCTTTGATTTGGATTCCTGAACTGAGCAGGGAGTTGGATTTGATGGCCTTGTAGGCCCCTTCCAACCTCACTTTCTATGATTCTATAATCTGCTCCAAAATTTTCCCTGGGATTGATGTCAGGCTAATGAATGATCTATAGTTCCCTGGTTCCTTGTTTTTGCCCTTTTTGTATATAGGGATATTAGCTCTCCTCCAATCGTTCAGCACTTCACCCATCCTACATAATTTCAAGAAAATACAGGGCAGTGGTTCTGCAATCTCTTCTGCCAGTTCCTTCAATATGCTTAGATGCAGCTCCAATCTCTTCTGTCAGTTCCTTCAATATGCTTAGATGCAGCTCATCCGGGCCTGGCCGGTACACCGGTAGTAAGGTACACCTTGCTTATTTGGATATCAATCTCAAGCTGCAATCCCACAACCCTCCCCTTTGTATTTTGTATTTGCCTCGAGAAGTACAGACTGTCCTTTGGAAGAAGATCGAGCTGAAGTAGGAATTGAACACTTCCAACATTTTCTTTGCCATCTTTTATCATTGCCCCATCCCCATGAAGCACCCGAGCCACCGTTTCTTTTCTGTCTTCTGCTACGCATATACCCGAAGAATGCTTTTTCTTTCATCATCTCTTGCTACCCTCGGCTCTTTCTCAGTGTTTGCCCTCCGAGTGCCATCCGTGCAATTCTTTACTACTTGCCTGTACTCTTTCTTTGTAGCCTGGCCTTCCTTCCACTTTATACGTCCTTTTTTTCTTTTCAGGTCCTCTCTGGTAGCCTGGCCTTCCTTCTACTTCCTTTATACGCCCTTTTTTCTTTTCAGGTCCTCTCTGAGCTTTCTGCGAAGCCACATTGATCTGGTTTTTGTTTTTTGCTGTCTTCCATCTTTTTTTTTCTTTCTGTAATTATTTCTAGTTGAGACTTGGTCTGGTTTTGTTTGTTTGTTTGTTTTTTTGCTGTCTTCCATCTTTTCTTTCTTTCTGTAATTATTTCTAGTTGAGACTTTAGATTTTCCATTTTGAGAAACTCCCACCCACCTTGGACTCTTTGTCCTCTTAGGATTTTCTGCCATGGGATCATACCCATCATTGTTCAGAGCTTATTAAAACCAGCTTTCTTTAAATCCATTGTATACATGCCGTTACGCTATGCTTCTGTTTCTTTTGAAATCAAGAACTGAAGCAGAACATGATCACTTTCTCCTAGAGTTCCTCTTGCTGCCACCAAGTCATCTCTATTGGTTAGGACAAAGTCAAGGATCACTTTCTCCTAGAATTCCTCTTGCTGCCACTTCTTCCACCAAGCCATCTCTATTGGTTAGGACAAAGTCAAGGATAGCTAGTCCTCTACTTTCTTTCTGTACTTTTTGTAGGAGAAAATGATCAACTACGGGCCAGGAATTTCCTGGAAGGTCCATATTTGGCACAATGCCCCCACTTCTGCTGAAGAGTTCTATGTATTATTCCTCTCCTCTTTAGCCTTGAGTCTGGCTTACTCACTCCTCCAGTTCTTTCACTTTTTCTTAAAATTCTATCCTATCTTGCGACATGACAAGGGGCATCGGGCATGATGAGAAAGGCATCTCTAGGTTTTTGCATTCTGGCGCCACAGAGAACCCCCAGCCCCACCCACGCTCAGCAGTCAAAAGAGAGGGGGCAAAATGACTTCTGCCAATGAATTTCAGTGCTGGCCACCCCAGTAGCTTTAAAATGGTCCAATGTAGGTCTCCTGAAGTGGGGCAGAGAAAACGCTCAGCATCCCAGTGCCCACACTCACCGGGGGCTCCCATCTCCCGGGATCTTCAGGCTGTATCAGGACGGTTTGGAAGACTTTGCTTTTAATTCTATTCTCATATGTTCTCAAAGGATATGAGCTTTTGTCCTTCCTCTTCTCTGGGTCATTACATTTCTGATTCAGAGAAGCCTCGTCACCCCGTTGGGCCTTTCTGAAACACTGCCTAGATGACTCCACCTCTATAGACCTTTCTGGCTGGTGCTGCTCTTCCATGGCTGCCTTTCCATCGTCTGCTGGAAGACGAAAGGGAGACGGTCACATTCTGAGAGCAAGAAACACCTCTATCAGTTCTTTCTACCAGAACCATAACGGTCAATAAATGAAATAAATAAATAAATGAACAAGGAATATCAGCTAAGCTGGGAGTGGGCACTTGCCTCCTAGGGGCTTAGAGGTGCTTCCTCAAGCATTCTGACCACCCACCACACTACCCCCTCCCAAAATATTAAACATGAGTTTCTTGTTTTTTAAAACCACATGCTTTTTAGGCTCAAGACGTTGCCTGCCCTGTGCACTAGAGATGGGGGCAATGCTATCCTGTTCTAAAGCCCTATCCAGCACTCCTGGAATTAGTACACCAGAAAAATATATCAACAAGACACAAAATATTTGGTTGTAGGGGTTTTTTTTGTTTTTGTTTTGTTAAATCTTCATTTTGGAATGAAAAAGTAAAAGGTGATGTTTCTACACCACCTCAAAGCACTTGAAGCAATCACATTTTACAATTTAATTACGCAGGCTACACAATGCAACCCCGTGAGCTGGGTATTCAGCTGACCAACCTCAGAAAGATGGAAGGCTGAGTGAACCTCAAACTGGCTACCTGAGGCCAGGATTGAACTCAGACTGTGAGCAGAGTCTTGACTGCAATTTTCACCACTGCATCTGTATGTGTGTGTGAATGTGTGGGTGGGTGTGGCCCCTAGTCTTTGGGACATTGTCCAATGTGTGTCTGTGTGTGTGTTCGTAGCCCCCAACCTTTGGGACATTGCCTATGCATGACCTAAGGAATACAGGGGTCCTTACCAATCAAGATACAGTCATCCTCCTGCTTGATTTTTTTCAAAAGCGGCTCCTGCCCAGACTCCAACCTCGCCTGCTCTACTTCTGGGAACGGGACTGATTCCTCATTGACACTCCTGCCCATCTAAAACAAAGCCAGGAGTGGCAAGAATTAAACCAAAGTTCACCTGTCATTTCCACCCACTCTCTTTGATGCCATTCCCTCCGGGCCCCAAGACTTCGCTGACGTCTCGGCATGCCTCCAGGTCCAGAAGGAAAAATGCAAGGGGTTCCACCAGGGATTTTCTATTTTCCCCAATTCTTCAGTGACCACCCTCCCCATCTGCTTTCCAGCAAGAAATAAGTTTATCGCCAGCTGTTTAATAAATGGATTATATAACTGGCACACATCATAATGCGCTGGTTCCCAGCCTTTAATTCTCCAGATATTTTGGACATCATCTCCCAGAAGTCCCAGCTGGCATGGGCCAAATGGTGAAGGATTCTGTGAGTTGAAATCCGCAACGCTGGAAAGGCCAAAGGTTGAAAATCACCGATACAGGGACTAGTGGGCTGGACTGAAAGGTCTCATGGCCCAGGATAGGGCAGGTTTGGGCCTAGTTTCCAATGGAAGTTGTTCCCAGAGCCTGCACAGAGTTCTAGAAGTTCTGTATGTTCCAGTATGGCTACTGGCTCCTTAACTATCCCAAATACTGAATGGACTAGCCGGGCATGGAAATGGCAGGAACAGCTGCTAAGAACATGCCCTCTCTTGTGAGGCCCCTTGGGACATGATATGGGGCACCCAATTGGCTGATGGGGTTTGCATTCTGGCACCATAGAGAACCCCTGACCCATGCTTAGCAGGCAAAGAGAGAGGCAAAATGACCTCTGCCACCGAATTTCAGTGGTGGCAACCGTAAAGACGGTGGCGTCTAAGAGGTCCAAAGGAGGACTCATTAACTAGACAGAGAAAAAGCTCACTAGCATACTCACTGGGGGCTCCCATCTTCCAGGATCTTGATGCTGCAGGAACTCCTCGGCAAGAGTCACTGCCACAGAGCAGGTCTCCGGATGACCCCTCTTGACCCACTTCTGCATCTCCCAGGGCAGGATGGTCAGAAACTGCTCCAGGATCACCAGCTCCAGGATCTCCTCCTTGCTGTGCCTCTCCGGTTCCAGCCACTGATAGCACAGCTCACGGAGCTTTCCACAAACTTTCCGGGGCCCCTCCGTCTCCTCATAGCAGAGCTCCCTGAAGCCCTCGACAAGGTTCCTTTCCTTGCCCTCTTCCGTGTTTGGGGTCTCCTCTTTCACTACCCTGTTGCTCCCTGTCCTGCCTGGGGGCCCATGGGCCTCTTCCGAGGAGCCGTAAGGGACCTGGGGAACAATCTCTCTTGGCTGGGCTTGGCTGACACTACAGGCTTCCTCACAGGTGGACAGAATAACAGCCCGACTGGGGCAACTTCCTGCGGGCCCTTCGGAGTGGCTCCCCTTCAGCTTGGGGGCTTCCATCGTCTTCAGGAACTGCTGCCACTGGGCGTCCCATTGCTCTTTCAGATCGGTGGGGGGTGCCAAACCCACAGAGGCAAGGGCAATGCCTTCCAAACATTCCTTTCTGTGGCTGGTCCGGATGGTGGAACAGCCATTTCCTGCTCCTACTTCTGGTTCTGGATCCGCTGAATCTTCCTCCACCTTCACTCCTTGGTTCAGGGCAGTTCCCACATGAAGGTCTGGTGCCTTTCGCTGATACATCTCAGTTTTCTTTCTCAATCCGCTAAGACCTGAAAGGGGAACTGATCAAACAGGCGTTGGGTGTATCACACTGTTGTCCAATTCCTGAGGCTCCCGTATTGTTCTTCTGCTTAGGAGTCACCCTATAGGAGAGGGAATTATCAAGAGTCAAAAGGAAGCAGACAACAGCACAGCTTGGAAATAACAAACTAGAAAATACTAATCACCTATAACTGATTCTCCTCCAGCCCCTATCATGAAGGTATATTGTAACTCTATTGCATCAGAGTCATAACTTTATGGAGGGATCACTTTTGCCGTGTTGCTTTTTGGATACTTTTTCAGTGAGTGAGGGGCACAGTGCAGGAGGAATATTCTGTGTTTCAAATGCTGTTGTGGGACATGCTAAGGTCCTAAAATATGCTAATCTTAAGAGGCCCTATACAAAAAATGATACATCTTCAATTACATACAACCTGAAATGTAGCAATTTTGCATTTTGTTCCATCATAGTCCTGCATAAACAGAGGGTCTAAGATGTAGCTTACTGAGCTTGTGGAGAAGTCTGGCACCAGTGTTAAAGTGGGAAGAGGAAGTGGCTTAGTCTTGAATAGGCAATCAAGACCCATTAGGCTTACAAACATACTGTAGTAGCAAAGATGAAAACTGCTTGGTGGGCTATGTTCAGAGGCCACCACCTTTCCTACTGAAGCAGCTGAGCCTCATCCTCTGCCTCAGGAGTGAGCACGGCCCGTGTTTTTATCTTCTAACGCTGTCTGAGACATACAGTACCTGTTTTAAACAAAATGGCTCCCACCCACCAAACCAATTTCCCTTCATTTAATCATCTAATCTTTCCATTCCCTGTTTCCCTTCTCTTAGTTCCTCTGGGCTTTCCCACCCCTTCATCCAGACAGTGCAGTCACAGTTAACAGTGGGATGACGGAATTTTTAAGTCCAAGGCAGCATGATGATGATCTGAGTTCTTCCCAAATCTCATGTACTCGCTCCCTATGCTTTTTTTTCCCCTGGTTTCTCCAGTGCCCTCATTCAAATGGCCCCCCGTGCCTGGCCTGGCATGGTGGGGTGATGTAGTCTGCACACACCGGGCAGGGGATTATGGGCGTGGTAGTCCTCCCCCCCCCGCCTAATCTGGGTCAAAGCCGCTTACTTCTCGATGGGATGGGGCATCATCCTTACCGGTCCGACTGGCAAACAATCAGAAAAGGGGAAGGGCGGGGGAAATCTACGGCAATCCACCCAGAGCTCCCCCAACAGACCCCCCTGGCCGGCCTGCTTTTTCCCGCCCGCCTCCTGGTTTGAACTCGCCGAATTCCCTCCTCAAAAGAAAAACTCGGGCACCTGCAGCGCCAGAAGCGACCCCTCCGCTTCCTCCTTGGTGCTGGGAAGCAGGAAGTGACGTCCGAGCCTCCACTGAGCCAATCCCTGCCCGCCCTCTCCTCAGGTACATAAGCGCGTTCTCAGGGTTTGTCTAGGAATCCGAACTCTTTGATCTTCTGAATGTTTGGCTCCGAGTCGCAGCTGCGAACGTGCGAGTCTCTGGGGCGGAGTCGCCGGTCTTGCTCATGGCTTGCTTGTTCTCCCTCCAGAAGGGCAAAATCCGCAGGCTTTTACGTTCTTGTTTAAGAGAGTTATATGCTCTCCTCTCCAGTCTCTTAACCCTGGCCTTGTAGCACCTTCCAGAACAAAACAAAGAAAAGCAACAGCGCAAAATCAAAATGCATATAAAGAAGAAGAAAAAATTTAAATTATCACATCTTTCTTAACTCCTCCTGTTAACCATTTTTTTTAAAAATGAAGATACTTTTTTACTCTTTACCTGATTTTGATGATGCAGTTGTATATTAATTAGCATATAATTTGCTATTGGGTTTTAATGTTTGACTTAATATGTTTT